GTGTTGTGACCATCTGTGTTTCAGCTGGGCCACGCACTTGCTTGGGGCAGAACATGGCCTATCTCGAAGCCAAGGTGATGACCTTCATGATCCTCAAGTCCTACAGGTAGCCAAACAAACATCTTTGTGGTCTTCCAGTATCTTACTCGTTTGGTTTTTGTGTGTGATTGGTGGATGATGGCCCAATCGCAGGCTGGAGCTGCACGACCCGGAGAATCAGAAGGTCACCTACCGCCCGTCACTCACACTGCCCATCAAGGGCGGCCTCCCCATGCTTGTCTCACGCCGCCGCTGAGGCCGCAGCTGGCCAGCTGCGTTCTGTACATACCGACCCAATGAACTGAAACTTTGCCTTTTCTGCGGACGCACAGAGCGTTTATCATTTTACCACTTCAAAAAAGAAACAACACTGCACCGGCCTACCAACCCACATGGGCATCAACCAAAGCATCCCGCCACACCGCATCGAGGTAAGATATATTATGTTGTGCATTGTAACGTTAAGCGCATAGCCAGCCTGTGCGCCACACACGACCAGCTGCAGCACAGCTTTGTAACGTTTTCTCTCCCCCCCCCTGTCTTTGCCCCGAAACACAGCCGCCCCGCTTTCGAATAGGGCCGCCGGGCAAGCCGATGCCGAGGGGCAACCAGTACTGCAGCATGCGGCCCCTCTTCTGGCGCCTTGCGAACAGTAACGTTTTGGTCAGACTGGAGACCGACGTGGCCCTGTGCTTCGGCGACGTGTACCGGGTGCTGCTCCTCCTGCACCACGACGACGCCGAACTCGACCGCGACGGGCCGGACCAGAGGCACCTGCTGCCTGCTCGCCACCAGCGGACGCAGTTCGTCGACGGTGTGCCCGTGGGTGATGACGATGGCCATCGCCACGACGCTAGTGATGATGAAGATGAGGAAGATGATGAACCGCAGACCCGCGGTCGGCACCACCCGACACAGGTGATCTGGGTCGCAGGGAACTGGATGCCCTTCACCCGGCAGATTGCCCACAACAGCGCCCTCCAGAAGGACTCGACGGTGAACATGATGGTGCCAGGCCCGCGACGGACTGCGTGGCGCGCTCTGCC